TCTCGTATCCAATAGCCTCAATTGAAAACAGAAACTTTACTCGCCTCTTTGAAGCAAGAAGTCTAAGAACTGCCTAATTAAAGCAGCAATAAAATGAATGATGGAGTATAACCTTGATATACCTTTTCTATAAGTAACCTTGACATTGCTATTTGGTAGCTTGTTATGACAGAAACAACTATAAATTATTATAGGAAAGTCCAAGCAAAGATATAATAAGTCCAAGCAAAGATATATCTTTCTCCACACACTTTACAAAAGCTAGAAATAGATACCAGGGGTGATCTTCCATCATAATCAGTTCGGCTGGGGTCTGCTCCTGCACCAATTATACGACTTAGACGATACAAATCTCCATCGTGAGCTGCACAGTTCAACCTCATCGTGAGCTCAGATTCATGTTTCGCAATATTCAGTGTTATGTCTGAATCCAATATCTTGCTTCGAAGGCTTGACTCTCTTCCCTGAGAAATTCCACATGCACATAAGATGAAAAACAACACTTTCTGTATTTTCGAAAATTTTAGAATCACCCGACATTTTTTTAAAAACTACCACCTTTTCCAAACCCCTGGGTCCAGTTAGTTGCTTAATGTTTAAAATAGCATTTGAAAGAAATCAACAGAAATTTGGAAGACAATAAGAGATAAAAAATGAAAAGAAATTGAACCTCAAGTAGATTATTGATGATTACACGCCCGTCAGAGAAGTATATCCCCAGAATCTCCACCAGAGCTTGTTTATCAATTCGTAGCAGTCTAGATAACTCATAAACTTGAACTGTATAAGGGACTGGGATGTTACAAAGAACAGAAATTTCACCAACAGAGTTGTAAGTGTGAAGATCCAGGAGAGATTCTTCAGTTTCATTTTCTTCTGGTTTTCTAACTTCTTCCTGTAGACAATACAAATTATGAACAAACAATTTACAATTTTTTTTTTGGACAAGGAAAAGCTGTAACAAACAGTCTACAGTTGAGATCCTGTTCAGTTCTTTGACAACCCTTTGTAGAAACACCTCGAGTATAACTTACTAATTACATTGTTTTGAAAATTACTTTTCATTTACATATCAATTCTGGAAGAAATTCTCTCTGGAAACACCTCGAATATATACATATATATATATATATAATATTCACCTATAAAGATGAGTGTGAACAAAAATGCAAAACGGATGTGATTTCATTATATCCTAGGAGACTACGCCAACCTTCTTTGTCTATCTCCATGTCTACCTTTCTTCGAATTTCTTTGCCTCGAATTTTCCAACTTGTAAATATTCTATATTTTGAAATGCCAAAAATGAAGTACACAACCTTCCTCGAGTATCAAAGACACACACACACAAAAAGGGCCTACTTCTTAACTTGAGACGAACTTTCTCAACATTACTGCAGATGACGATATTCAGGGTGTAGGGGAGGAGGGAACAGGAACTTCCATGCCAAAATTCTTCGGCTGTCCATTTCTTTGTTCTCCCTTTTCCTTATTCTTGTATTCTCCTTTATTTTTGTCTTTGTTGGACTTTACTTCTGTTGCCATTGTGCCTATCCATGTAAATAAAATGTATCTGCTTCTAAATTAAAGCTAATTGCTACAGCTACTGCTGCTTCCATTTTATTTCTCTGCCTAGGTTTAACAATCTTCCCTTAGGATATCGTTTAGTATAACAATGGAATTCAAAAGATGGAAACCATACCACTTTACCATGACAGACAAAATACAGTTGATCTGCCATGCTACCCTGTTCCATAATCACTTCCCCTGGAAGGAAAAATTCTTCATGTACTTTGATTGCCTACAAAAAGAGAAGAATTGGTGAGGCACCCTTCACTACTACAGACTTCGCATTGTTGCTACTACTGCATATCAGCTTCAGATGTAGGATAATAGCAAACAACAGGACATCCTTATTGGCGTCAACATGAATCATAAGAATTGGAGTAGTCATTTGTTAAATAAGCACAAAATTCTTGAATACGGTAATATTTAAAGGAAGGAAGCAGCAGACAAGTGTCAAATCTTGAAACAAGCACACGATAGCTACAAATAGAAATCAATGCTCTTAGGATAGCATAGCTTCCTTAAAGATGTACAATGAGTTCTGAAATAGGCGCCATTTTATTTTTAGTCACCTAGCTAAGATTATTGTATCTTTGTTTCAATGTTAAAGGAAATAACTATTCTACGATCATGATGAAATGTACTTGATATAAGATATTTCTTTTTGTCAGTGATATAAGATGAATTCTTTTATTGGAAANAAGATTGCTTCACATTAGAATAAGCTGTTTAATGGGAAATAAGCAGAAAGAAAGTAGCATTTGTTTCTGCATTTATTCCTCAAAGATGCAAGAATAAGTGAACCAGTGACACACTTTTGTAAAGAGATAAAGAAAGCAAATATTATAAGCCCGTTTCCTTGTGGTTAAGTGAACGTACAATCTGTTTGATAAATTCATGCGAGCAACCTCTGAAAAGTGGGACTCCTCTGATGTAGGGCTCATACAACTTTTGCGAAATCTGCAAGAGGAACCCGTTACTGTGGCATACAACACCAAACATTCATATTTATACTTATTACTGTTCCTTTCCCTGATCTTTCCTTTTTTTTTGGTCATAGGGAGCAAAGAACAGGAGATTGTAAAGACTAAAGAGATAAATTTCTTCTTGCAATACCTTAGCTCGAATTGAAGCAGGAATATCCTGAAGAACAGAAGACTCATTATATCGGCTCTCATACTGTAATCTGACATGATCTTTGATCTCTTTGCTTATGCGTTTCCCCAGCCTGTTTCTGTTCATATACTTTATAATATCTGCCATTTTATCCCTGAACTTTTCAGTTTTGGATCCTTTTACAATTAATGCTGCCATATTACCAAGTAGGTAGGCACCAAGAATCATGTCAAAAGAGACATAAATCATTACAAATATCATTTCCTTGGTATTGACTGCATGAATTTCTCCATAACCTGCAGCATAAGAGAAGAATAAATGCATTATACCAGATACTGATTTTGAGAAAAGTAACCTTTCCAAATCCGTGCTGCTCTAAGAATAAAGTAGAATCACTTACATATACGGCAATAACACCACAACCAGATAACTTCCCAGAAATGTATGCTTTAGCTTTTGATATAAAATGTTTAACGAAAGGAGACTTTTTCAGTTCATCACAAATTCATAATACTTTTCTACTTATAATTATCTGAGATTACTTTCTAATGATTTCTTGTATTTTCAGCTCGGACAAGAGGACTTCCATTATATCTTCCAGTATACATCTCGCAGACATAATTTTTATTGCAGAAGAGTAATTTGGCTTGCCTTTGCTGAGATGTTTCTAGCATTAGGACATGGTAGGAACAGTGCGATGTTAGAAATTCTAGAATCCACTCTCTTTCTACTCCAAAGTCTCTCAACTAATAGCACTACTACCACCTTGGAGCTGTATATAACAGAAGCGCCGAGAGATCAGCTAAATATGATAGGACATCATACAAAGGTGATGAGCCGAGTGCCAGAATATTCAAAGAGTTAAAATCCTTGTAGTATCACTCAAAATTGTAACTTTCATATATTTAATTTTGTAGGTTATGGAGGAGCTAATAATTCAAAGTTCTTAGCAATTGAAGTACAACTATTTCCTGTTGCATCAAAATTTTCTATGTCTCCAACTAAATGTGAATTTGATTCTGAAGAGAATTATTGAAGCATGGCTTCATGTGATTTATAGCCTCTGTATCAAGTAACTAATACCCTTAGCTAACAGAAATTACTACAATCATTTAAACCAAAAATCACTAATCTCAACTGTAATTCCTAATAAACTGAAAGTCACCAAATTTTACTGCATTATTCCCACGCTACCTTTGCTAATTCTTATTTCTGGTTTTCCTAGTGGGAAACAATAAGCAAAGAAGTGATAAAAATTAAAAAGACACACTTGTGTTTAAGAAAAATCTAAAAGATTTGTACGAAGATCCGAAGTAAAGAAGGGAGTAACACATGAATGTTGTTTTAGACATTTGTATAAATGAATAGATGGAACCAGAATGATAAAATCAATAAGCTAATATAGTTTGAACTTTGCAGTAAAAAGAAATAGCTTACCAACAGTTGCCATGGTGACAATGGCAAAGTACAAAGATGTGATATAGCGAGTCCAAAGATCAATGCCTCGGAAATGTGCATAACTATAGTCACCCATCTTCAGGCTTCCTATCCACGTGTAACCTTCCTCCCATGGAGGCAATGTAGTAGCCAGATAGTAAAAAATACAAGCAGCGGTGTGAGTGCAGTATACTTCGACAACTAATAACTTCACAATCCTTGTAAACAGATAATTTAGACGGATGTCTTTCTCCAGCTTTTCAAAAAACTCTGTCACTCTAAGGGCTCGGCTTAGCCTAATCCATAAGAGGTATCTAACTGGCTCCTTTCTTCCACAAGCCTGATCACAGAAAACAGCTTAGTAGTTCATTTTATAGCCATTTATGCCAATTTCTTTGCCATTATCAGCATTGGAAACTGACCAAATAGAGTGCATAACACTCTACAACTTATACATACCAATAGCATAAATGTCAAGCTGCAAAGTCGTGCCCATCCACCATGGTTGGCAAAACCTTTTTTATTTTGTTTCTTAAAAAACCTTCAAAGTCATAATAACCAACTAGATTCTTGTTGATAATCATGGTACAAAGGCTGGAAGTTGACTATCAGAGGCCAATGTCGAGAGGATTATAACACTTTGTCAAAAGGAGAAAAAGATGAGAACAAGAAGACTAACACACAAGTTCCTAAATGATTGGAGAGTTGCATACATTTAGTCGATACACAGTCCTCAAACTCCAAACTACCACTACGACCAGTCCTGTAAGGAATGTTCTAGCCACCACAATTAAATTCTCAGTTTCCTAAATGGTAAATTATAATACAAAGGCAATACAAAGGAAGAAAATTGTTTTAAACTGAAACTAGTCAGTCATCACTTCATTTGTCTTGGAAACAGAAAGAAACAAGGCTATAAGTTTATTCCATTTCAAAAAGGCAACAACAATAATGACTTGGCGTTTTCAAGGTGGAGTATCACAAATAAGGATATATCTCTATTGAATCACGATAGTTAGGAAGCACATAGCTATATATATAACCTTGTCTTTTCACTAGAGCAGCACATTGATCTTAAATTGCAAAAACTTGAACAACCCAGCCATAATATAAATCAACCTATCAAGTATGCCTCAATCCTGAATTAGTTGGGATCGGCTGTATGAATCCTCAAAAAAGTTCCGCTCTATTCAGGTCCTATTCTGAGATTCCTCATGGTTAAACATACCTTGTATATAGCATCCCATGGGAAGCAACCTAGCAAGTCCACCAGGAAACGAGATTTCAAGTACCTATACATATAACATATTACTGAAAACTTTAGGGCAATCATAATAGGAATTGCGTAAATTAAAAAGGGGACAGACCGAAGGGCAATGAGTTTACGGTCGTAGACCATGCAGTAAGAATGAGCGTCTCGATACGCAACAAAAAAGAGAACGACGATGTCGATGAGGAAAGCAATTTGGCCGGCAATGTCCAGAAGGAACAGATTTTCGGGGAGTCCTCTGAAAAACCCAAACTCCAGGGGAGTGAAGAAGGAGGAGTAAATCGCCCATATCAGAATGAATTGAGTCCACAACAGGTACCACCTGCATTCAAAAATTCTCTTTATTTGGCCGTTCTGGTAGTCAGTAATTGTTATGTTGGCGCCACGGACAAGGTATAATTTCGGATCATATTCAAAATTATTGAGGGTTCAGATTTAGAATTCAGGTGATTACGGAAGTTGAGAAAGAAAATGATTCCTTTTATAAATGTCAAAATACCAATTTGGCCATTGCTTATTATAAACCGTTGGCAAACGGACTTTTGGATTTTAATTTAAGTTTTGTGCGCTAGTTATTAAAAATTATTCACACAATTAGATAAAAGATAAAAATAATAACTAGGCTATTATCACATGCTGAACTACTATATTGAGGTTCCTTTGGTCACCGGATAAGGATACTAATATCAGGATAAAATTAGAGATTGTATTTATCCTATATTTAATTATGGATATAATTAATATTGATATAGATTTTATAATTAGCTATCACATTTAGAAGGTGAAATAGCTAATTCTATGAAATAACCAAACCCATAGGATATCTTGTCTATCTCGCAACTGAACAAAATGACCCCTAAGAGTATAAATTTTTTCTATTATCGGTGTAAATCACATGTTTGGTCAAGCTTCTCTTTGGCAAAAAATATTTTTTTTTTCAAATTTAAGATATTTGGCCAAACTTTTAGAAAGAAAAAATAATTTTGAGTAGAAGCAGATATAGTTTTTGAGAAGTACAAAAAATTAGTTTATTCCCAATAATACTTTTTTGAAAAGAACTTTGAAAAAAAAAAATACACTTAGAATTATTTTTTAAGGGTTTGGTCAATTTTTTTTAAATTAATTAGCCACACAAACTATGTCACCATATAATTTTTTTGGAAAACACTTTTGAAAAAAATATTTTTTAAAACAGTGACTGACCAATTATCAGGATGAATAACAAAGCCATAGCAGTGATCTCTACGTCCTCCCCTGCTTGTACTGTCTCTCCCTTGATCTCCATTTCTAACACTAACATTATTAGTGTCAAGACTAGAATAGTTCCTCAAAAGCTTGAAGCGATTCTTCCAATTAGAGGCTAATTTCTTGGAGTTGGAACTTTCTTGAAGATCCTCAACCTTAAATTCCTCATCTTCTGAATCTTCACCTCTTCCTTTTCCTCTATCCATCTTGTACTTCTCTATCACTGCTTTATTTACAAATAATATTATCCGATCAAAATAAACTAATTTTTGTTTAATGTATTGTAATCATGGGAGTCATATCTTAATTCTGCCAAAAACAGAAGCAAGAGTTCTTGTCTTATAGAGTCCAAATTAAAGTTGCTGGAGCAGGATACCTTTGGACATGATAAGGTGCTTAGAGAATAGAATTGAAACTTGAACTAGGAATATATCTCTTTATGTTAACTCGAGAATAAATATAAATAAAGAGAGAATTTGGAGACTGTGCAAGAATAATAAACACAGAATTTATGCTGCTACTTTATTGATTGATCTCCATTATTTCAGTGCGAAGTTTAAGACTAGCAAACTTCACTTCTATTTCTTTGCGTGGATACGAGTTTTCTTTAGCATATCACACTTCTTTCGACATTAGCCAAGCATACTATTGGCAAATTAATTAAGAAGGTTTCTGTTTGACTCAAAATATATTGGAACTTTTTTAAATAAATTAATTAAAGAAAATGAAGGGGTAAATCTTAGATAAGTATAATAAATTTTAGAACCAAAGGTATAAAAGATGAACACAATGGATAATATTTCTTGATCTTGCGAAGATGAGTGATCGAACATTAAGGATGCCAATCTTTTATCTAGAAAAGTATTACAGTCAATGTTCTTAGCTAAAAAAGCCAAAAGCCCCTCTTACAAGGTTGTTTTCCCGCTATATATAAGGGACAAACTTCTTCTGAACCCTAAAAGACATATCATAGGGAATATTCGAAATATATTCCTAGTGCCCCCTATTGGGCCTACACTATTGTAAAAGTCATGCAGTCTCTGTTTGCTTGTCTGTCGTCCTCCATAGAACGTCGAGCTACGAAGATCTCGTTGTTTGTCGTATTTCGTCAATGGTCGTGGTCGTCCAAATTTGGACCCATACAGTTAGTCCCTCCGCTTGTCGAGGTTGCAACTTGGTGTGTCCTTGATAAGCGGACACCACCCACTCTTGTGGAGAAATTTGGTTTTACGAAGCGTTATGGCTTGGCCAACAATGAGAGATTAGTGTGCTCAACAAGACACCGGATAGTGTATCTTATCGGGAAATGACGTCATCTCCACGTGCGTCATCATTATGCGTGTTTTTGAGAGAGGGATTGAGGGCTTGTCGTTTCGATTTTGGTGCCACTCTGCAGCCTTCCGCTTCGATTCTGGTGCTGCCCAATCCTATAAATAGGTGGAGGGTTTGTTTTTTCAAAAACTCTTGGCCATTTCATTTCTGGTTGTCCTTTCTCATCCCTCCCGTGTTTGCTCCAATGATTTTTCTGCTTCCTCTTCTCCCATTCTTCGTTCATAGCTTTCTCTATTATTTTAACACATTTTCCGTCGAAGAGATGCCTAGAACACATCGATCTCATGAGGGGTTTCTGACGCCACCCCGTTGTCTGTGGCGCTCCCCTCAAGCGGTGAGGACATGACAGTGGAAGAGGGGGACAACTTTCCCACGGTGGAGGAGTTGCAGCCGAGACACCCCGTGTCTCGAAGCGACTTTCTCAAGGATCTTCCTCCTACTCCTATCCCCGTGCTATCTGAAACGGAACAAGTTCATATCAATGCTCTCCGTACAAAATATAGCATCCCCGTTCATGTTGATATGGTTCCAGCGGGAAGGGACTTGTGGAAGTCCATAGGCCTGGGTATTGTGCTTTTATGAGTACCCCTTCGTAATCGGTCATTCCTTCCCCCTTCTCCTGTTAGCAGAAGAGTTCTATCGATTCTATCAGGTTTACCCGGTGCAACTTTCCCCATACACGCTTTAAATTCTTCTGTTATTGACAAAGTATGCGGAGTTGGCAGGGTGCGAGGTTACCGTTCACCACCTTCTGCACTTGTTCTCACCCAGCTTTCATAGGGGCACTATGGTGCATTTGAGGCACCGTGGGACAAAAGGGCTGGTGGTTGGGACCGACGACCGAGCAAGTCGCAAATTTTGGCATAAGTACTTCTTTGTCAAAACCGAACATATTGTGTCTGACCCCGCTAGGTTCCCGAAGCGGTGGAACGAGAATCGTAAGTGTCACCACTTGTTTTACTCTTTCTTTTCTTCTTCATTCATTATAGTATTTGTTTGTTTCTCGTTTGCAGCTATGGGGTCTCCACCCCACCCTATTGCAGGTATAAGGGATTGGGTAGCCTATCTGTTGCCCCATGCAGCGGTGACCCGAGATTGGCCCGCTTTCGTGAAATGTTTTGGGCCGAGAGTTTCATCTGGTAAATGTCTCCCCCTATATCACTTTGTTGGTTATATACCGTTGTCTATTGATACGACTCTTCACGATGACAGGTAGAGGAGCTTCTAAGTAGAGGACCCCAGTCCCTGCATTTTGATAGGTTGTCGCTGCTGTAGGAATGCAGTTTACTTTGAATGAATCCGTCCAAGGGGGTCGTGCTCAGCCGATACAAATGGAAGATCCTTCTCGGGATATGGACGTGAGGGAAGAGGCCTCTTCCATACCGACCCCTCACCTCATGGACGAATCCTATAATGGGGATGAGCCGTTACTGAGGAAAAGGTTGAGAGTGAAGTTTGGGAAGGATGTGGTCGTGGACACCAGTAAAAATAGGATGGGTGCGTTGCAGATGGCACCTGTGCCCCCGTTTATGGCCGACGCCATCTTGGCGGGGAGGTCTCCCCAAATGGAAGGGGTTTACCCAGGAGGCGGCTCTGTGCACTCCACTGAGGGTGGCACATCGTCTAACGTTGGAGGGGGTTTGCGCGTCGAGGGAGAAGGATCATGTTCGGATGTCGACCCGGAGAATGTTTGCGAGCTTTTAGAATGCCATACTCATGTAGAGGTTAGAGTGGGGGATTCCGATCGGCATATAGTTGTCCCTGGGGACTACAACTTGTTGTCGAATTGTGATCAGGTGGCGTCTGCTTTAGCCCCTTTATGTGCCGCCCCTGAGAGCGAGGCGCTTAGAGTGATGAGCGACATGGAGTTGTCTCGGAACGTCGTCGGCATGGCCTTCCGGGTAGATTTCTTTCTCTTCCTTTTCGTCGTTGGGTTTGCATTGTTATTGTCGACCTGTCTTTTTGTTTTATTTTTTTTTTCTTATTGTGCCAGACGCCCAGACCCTTATCGTGGAAATCGAGCGCGAACATCGGGAAAGGAAGAAACGGCCATCTACGGGAAGATGTCTTCTAAATATCAAGAATATCGCACCAAGCATCATGCAATGGCCGACATCTACTATCAGGACCCCGATTTCCAACTGTTTCGCGAAGGGCTTAAACAGAGGGAGGATCAGTTGGCGTGCAAGGTCAAGGAGTTGAGGGAGCGAGTCGAGGACCTTATAAAGGCCTTCGCCTGCAACAGTGAACTCGAGGTGTCCCTTAAGGTGAAGGAAGATGAGCTTGAGTTAAGTAGAGGGTGATGGCTGAGAATGCCGACATGTAAGCAAAGATATCCAATAAAACTGAATTGGGTATGAAGACGACAGAGATTAACGAGCTCAAGGGCAAGTTGAGTGTGAGTGCTGATAAACTGGAGACTGCTATTTCTGAAGGGGCAATCTTGGAATATATCCTCTGTGTCTGTAGGTCAGAGCTAGCCAAGAAGAAGGAGGCATCCGCGCTTAAGGTATCTGGGCTTGATGGGTATGTTAAGGAGTTGGAGGCGGATCTATCCGCGTTGGCTGGACAAGTGGCATCATTGAGAACGGAGGACGCGCATCGACACTCGCAACCTTTTACGTCTCGTACTTCGGCTGATCCCATCGTGCCCCGTTGTTTATATAAGTTGTGGGTTCACGTCGAGGCCCAGCTTGATGTGTACAAGGCTCTTCACGCCGACGGAAGGGCATCTGAAGTGGAACTTCAGGATATGCGTGCCAAAGCTCGGGTAGCTCGCGAGGCATACGAATATGACCCGCTTACGCTTGACGGAGATGATATTAACTCTGATGATGAGAACCGTCTTGCGTTTGACTCTTGGTACGAAGATGTTTATGCTACCATGGATGATGTGTAATTTTTGGTTTGTACTTACTTTTGCTTCAGGATTTTTGTAAGGGCGTCTTTGGGCCCATTGTAAAGATAGGTGCTGGTAATATTTTGTCGTAATGAAAAAATTATTTTGTTGATTCGGTGGCAATCTTTGTTATATTTTTGTCAATTTGAGTGATGTCGAACCCTTTTCTTTGACGACGGCCTTAGCCTTTGGGATGTTACCTTTGAGCCGATATTGAAGTAATATCCTGTCGTAGTTCGAGTGAAGTCGAACTTGTATCTTTGTCGATGGCTTAGCCATTGGGATGTTACTTTCGAGCTGGCGTCGAAGTAATATCCCATCGCGGTTCAAATGAGGTCGAACTCATATTTTTGTCGATGGCCTTAGCCATTGGGATATTACTTTCGAACTGGTGTCGAAGTAGTATCCCATCGTAGTTCGAGTGAAGTCGAACTTATATTTTTGTCGATGGCCTTGGCCATTGGGATGTTACTTTCGAGCTGGCATCGAAGAAATATCCCGTCGTGGTTCGAATGAGGTCAAACTCATATTTTTGTCGATGGCTTGGTCATTGGGATGTTACTTTCGAGTAGGCGTCGAAGTAGTATCCCATCGTAGTTCGAGTGAAGTCGAACGCATATTTTTGTCGATGGCCTTGGCCATTGGGATGTTACTTTCGAGCTAGCATCGAAGTAGTATCCCGTCGTAGTTCGAGTGAAGTCGAACTCATATTTTTGTCGATGGCCTTGACCATTGGGATGTTACTTAGCTGGCATCGAAGAAATATCGCGTCGTGGTTCGAATGAGGTCGAACTCATATTTTTGTCGATGGCCTTGGCCATTGGGATGTTACTTTCAAACTGGCGTCGAAGTAGTATCCCATCATAGTTCGAGTGAAGTCGAACTCATATTTTTATCGATGGCCTTGGCCATTGGGATGTTACTTTCGAGCTGGCGTCGAAGCAGTATCCCGTCGTAGGTCGAGTGAAGTCGAACTCATATTTTTGTCGATGGCCTTGGCCATTGGGATGTTACTTTCGAGTTGGCGTCGAAGAAATAACCCGTCGTGGTTCAAATGAGGTCGAACACATATTTTTGTTGATGGCCTTGGCCATTGGGATGTTACTTTCGAGCTGGCGTCAAAGTAGTATCCCATCGTAGTTCGAGTGAAGTCGAACTTATACTTTTGTCAATGGCCTTATCTATTGGGAGTTTCATTCATA